TTTTTTTTTTTTTTTTTTTTTTTTTTTTTTTTTTTTTTTGAGACAGGGTTTCTTTGTGTAACAGTTCTGGCTATCCTGGAACTCACTTTGAAGACCAGGCTGGCCTCAGACTCACTGAGATCCACCTGTCTCTGCTTCCCAAGGGCCAGGATTAAAGGTGTGCGCCGCCGCCACCACCACCCAGATTGTTTCTACATATTCTATCTCAGATTAATTGCTCAGATTTTTGGGCAGTCAATGAATTTCTAGATCTAGCCTGCAGCTTGACTTTCAGGGAACTTTGAGAGTAGGAGTTGGATAGGCCTTTTATCCCTTTCTCTTCTCTTCTCCCTTCCTCTCTTTCTCACACACACACACACACACACACACACACACACACTTACTTTGTTTTTTGCCACAGTGTGTTTTGAACCTAGAGTCCTGTTTGTTAGACAGCACTCTGAGCTATATCCCCAACCCTCTTTTCTTTTAAATTAATTTATCTGTTCTTTGAGATTTTTTATATATGTATACATATGTTTTTGTCACACATCTTCAGCTTCTAGACATTCTCCCAACACTCTTTTTTTCTTATTATTTTGGTCTTAAACTTGCGATCTCAGTACCTCAGCCTCTTGAGTAGCTAGGACTACTGGTCTGTGCAACCAGGCCCTACACCTCAGCCCTCTCTGAAGTTCTGGTGCTCACCTCTGTCTCATTGTCTCTCTAACTCCCTCTAGCCCACCTGAAATGTCCAAAAGGGGGAAACTTTATTAAAGGTCCTCAGACATCGAACTCGGTGGTAGAATGCTTGCCTGGCAGGAGGGATCAAGGTCCCAGGTTTTATCTGGGCAACCCAGAACCTACCCCAGAATGGGAAACTGCAGCCCATAGACAGGAGTGACTCACCCAGCCATTATGCGGGACCTGCTTTCTGCCACCACCCTCTGTCATCTTTCTTTCTGTGTCTCTTCCCCAGTCCTGCTTGTCTCCTTGGACTTGGCGCCCTGTTCGTCTCTCTCTGCTCCGACCCCCGGGCTCTGTCTCTGCATCACTGCCTTTATTCATCTTACCTGCCCTCACATCACCCCTTCCTAGACTCCCAGGATACCACTGTCCTCGTGGGGGAGGCTGCTCGCCCACATCGCCCTGGCCATTGCCCTCTGTCCCCTGCCCTTGTTCTTCTTTTCACATCCCTGCTCCTGCCTCTTAGGGTAGCCTGTGGACCAGCATGAGTAAGATGGCATAGCCCTTCCCACACACATTTCCTGTTGTTGTTTCTGCTTCTGTTTTTTCTTACTAATTATTAGCATATTAACATCTTATATCATATATTTTTTCTTAATCTTATTTATTATTATTTATTAGTTTTTGAAATAACAGACAAGAGCTCCAGCACTGAGCTATTCCTCTGGCTGTAATTACCATCCTATATTTTATTTCTTATGGCGTGTTCTCTCCATGAGAGTAGGGATTTTATCTTTTGTGTGTATTTGCGGGTGCATGTTCAAGTAATGGAACCCAGGGACTTTCATGTACTAGGCAAGGACTTTATTGCCAAGCCATGCCCCCAGCCCCTTACTGGGGTATTCTACCACTGAGCCACACCCCAGCCCCTCACTGGGGGATTCTATGCAGGTGCTCTATCACTGAGTCACACACCATCAGCCTTTTGGGATGATTATCTTGCTTCTAACAGAGTAGGACTGTTGTGATTATTGCCGAATGACTGTCCTGTCTTCCTCTGGACTAGAACATGCAGCTGTAGTCCAGAGGAAAACTGTCTCTCTCCCCCTCCACATGCACATGTTCTTGGTTGTTTGGGAAACAGGTCTCTCTATGTAACCCTGATTGGTGTTGACATTTGTTTTGTTTTTGTTGTTGTGATTTGGTTTGTCGAGACAGTGTTTCTCTGTGTAACATTCCAAGCTGTCCTAGAACTTGCTCTGTAGATCAGGCTGGCCTCGAACTCAGAGAGATCTGCTTGCCTCTGCCTCCCGAGTGCTGGAGTTAAAGGCTTGTGCTGCCACTACCCATCTAGCGTTAATATTTGTATATATTCCAGGCTAACCTCAAACTCAGGGCAATTCTCCTGCCTCAGCCTTCCAAGTAATAGAATTGCAGTCAATAGTAACCATGTTTGGCTCATCATCTTCCAGTCAGCCACAACCCTTCACCTCCCCTTTCCAGTTGTCCCATCTAAGGTCCCCTTGTCTTTGTGCATCCTGTCTGATGGCATGGGTGGAAGGAGCCAGGGGTCCTGGCTCCTCTCCCAACAACCTGGATGACTTTTGCAGTGACTGGCTCTCTCTCCGAGCTCCAGATCAGCTATGTGTGCCGGGAAGTGCTCCAGGTGAGAAGGGGCCGGGGGCTCCCAAGGTGAGCAGGGCCCTGCACAGGCAAAAGGGGCTCACCAGTCTATTGTTCCCATCTCTCCCCAGGGTCTGGCCTATCTGCACTCACAGAAGAAGATACACCGAGACATCAAGGTAGACTGGGGACCAGGGTGCCACTGAGGATGGGTCATGGGTGCGCCTAAGTCTCGTGGTAATTTTGAGTTTTAGCATGGAGTCACAGGTGTGGGAAGGGTGTTCTCTGACAGCTTCTGATACCTCCTCTGGTCCCCAGGGAGCCAACATCCTCATCAATGACTCTGGGGAGGTCAAGCTGGGTGAGTGGACTCCAGGGGTACACAGGGAGCTGATGGAGGTTGGGGAGGGAATGGGCTAGATACATACTATTTCTATCTCTGCCTCCAGCTGACTTTGGCATCTCAGCCCAGATTGGGGCAACCTTGGCCCGACGCCTCTCTTTCATTGGGACACCATACTGGTGAGGGGTGCTGGGTCAACAGCTGGGGTGGGAACAGTGGCATTTCCCATTTTGGCTCCCTAGGACGTCCTTGACTCTGCCCTCTCCTACTAAACACCCTTCCCCTCTCTTAGACTACCTTTTGAGTTTTCTATTTATCTGTGTCTCTTTCTGGCCCTTTCTGCCTGTTTCTCTTAGGATTTCAGTGGTGTGGGTTGTAGGGTGTGTGTTGTTTGTTGTCCTCTAGCTCAGGCTGGCTTTGAACTCCTGATTCTCCAGGCTTCAGTTCCGACAGTGTTAGGATTTTAGGCTTGCACCACCACCACACCCAGCTTGGCTTGGTTTCTTACCTCGATCCCTATCTCTCCCCAAGTCTGTCTACTTCTGTGTTTTCTCAGCCTGTGGCTCTCTCTGTCTCTCTGTTTCTGTCTCTCTAGATTGTAGATCTCCTTAATTTTAATTTGTCTTATGGACTACAGCTAGGTTTCGATACCATCACTTTATCACCAGGCCATACTCCCAGCCTCCCTCTCTCCCTCTGTAGCCCGGGCTGTCCTCGCACTCGTGGCAGCTTTCCTGCTTTAGCCTCCAGGGTACTAGCAGATCCCAAGTATCCCCACGCTCCCCCTTTCCTCCTCCTTTGGCCACTTTGTCTTGGTGTCCCTGTCCCCTGGCTCCTCTACCTCTCTTCTGTCCCTGGGCCACTCCTTGCTCGCTGAGGGTCTCTGCCTGCAGGATGGCGCCAGAGGTGGCAGCTGTGGCCCTGAAGGGCGGATACAATGAACTGTGTGACATCTGGTCTCTGGGCATCACAGCCATCGAACTGGCTGAGCTTCAGCCACCTCTCTTTGATGTGCACCCTCTCAGGTAAAGGCTGGGGTGGTGGGTGCCCTTGGGCAACAGACCGTGCTGAGGCCTGACCCTGCAACTACCCTTTGGCCTGTGTCCTCACCTCAGATCAGATGCCTCTAGGGAGACCCCTGTAGCTCCCTGAGCACAGAAACCTTTTCTCAGATTTCCACAGCAAGACTTCCAGTTTAGTGGTCCCCACCTTTTTGTGGGAGCAGGGTGTTTAGAGACATTGTTGCTCGTGTAGTCCTGGCTGGCCCCCAATTTTCTACGTAGCTGAGGATAGCCTACATTCCAGATCCTCTTGCCCGCCCAGCCTCTCACAGTTCTATGAATGTCTATCATCTTTTATTTATTTGTTGTTGAGACAGGGACTCCCAGTTTCCCTCTGTAGCCCAGGCTGGCCTTGGATTCTGATCCTCCTGCCTTAGCCTCCCAGCTGCTGGCACTGCAGGTATGGCCCTCCCTGCCCAGCTAATAGACATCCCCACCTGGAGACTCCTTCTGGATGGGCGGAAGCTTCCAATTTTCTAAAACTCCATAAACAATTTCTCTTAGAAGTGACTTCACAGCCAGGAGTGGCCACCCTGTGATGCCAGCACTCAGGCAGCTGAGGCAGGAGGTCACGAGTTTGAGGCTAGCCTGAGCTCGGTAACAAAATCCTATCTAAAATCACCAGTAAAAAAAAAAAAAAGGGTGTGGCCATTGAAATTAAAGCCAGAACTGTATTTCCTTCTTGTGTGTGTGCCCATGTCTGTAAACATGCGTGTGGAGGCCAGAGGACAGCCTCTGCCTTGTTCTTTGGGCACTGCCCACTCTGTTGGTTTGTCCCGACAAGGTCTCTTATGGGCCTGGCGCTGGAAGATTCGGCTAGCCTGGCCCCAGCCACAGAGCTCCATCTGTCTACCTCCCAGCACTGGGGTTACACGATCACCATCATACCCAGTTTGTTTACACACATCTGGAGGTCAAAGGGCAATTTACAGGCATTCATTTGCTATTTCTGCTCTGTGTGTCCTGGAACTTGAACACACTAGAGACACAGGCATGCCCTACCTCTTACAGAGGACCTGGAGATTTGAACTCAGATCCTGAGACTTGCATAGCAAGTGCTCTTACCATCTGAGTCACCTCCCCAGTTTTATTTCCATCTGGTAACTTCTGAAGTCATGAGATCTGTCTCGTCCCATGGATCTGAACCTCTGTTCTTCCCTATGGCTCTAGGGTTCTCTTCCTCATGACAAAGAGTGGCTACCAGCCTCCTCGGCTAAAAGAAAAAGGCAAATGGTAAGGGAAGTGAGCTGAGGAAAGACAGAGGAGGAGTAGATGGGGTGAGGAGAAGAGCTCTGAGCCCCTCATCCCAGATCTGCCTTCTTCCTCCCAAGGTCGTCAGCCTTCCACAACTTTGTCAAAGTCACCCTCACTAAGAACCCCAAGAAACGCCCTGGTGCTGCCAAGATGCTCAGTGTAAGCCAGCCTCCCTCAAGGACCCCCTCCCATCTCCTCCTCAGCCCAGGACTATCCAAGTTTCCCATGGCTCACAAGAGCACAGGGAGCTCTGGCGGCCCCTTCAAAACCCCATCCCTCAGCATTTCCCAGGACTCTCCCCACAGGACCCTTCAAACTGTTCCGGAGGACCCAGGCCTGGGGGCACAAGCCTGCAGTCTCAGCACTAAGAAGGTAGAGGTAGGAGGATCAGAAATTCAAGGCCATCTTTGGTTACGTAGAGAGTTTGAAGCTATCCTGGGTTACATGAGATCCTGTCTCAAAAAATAAAACTCAAACCAAATTAATACCCAGATATTTCTTTTCTATTTGGTTGTTGCTGTGTATGTGCCTTTTTCTTTTGTTTTCATTTATTTGTTTTGTTATGGTCTCATGTAGCCCAGGATAGCCTCAAATTTGCTATACAACCAAGACTGACCTTGGACTCCTGGTCCTCCAGCCTCTACCTCCCAAGGGCTGGGCTTAGAGCCATAGCCACCATGTCCGGCTTTACGCCAGATCTCCCCAAGTTCTTCTGAGTTGCTGGAATATGCCAAGTCCAGACTTGTGCCTGAGAGTCTTCACCAAGCCTGGTGACTTCTAGGATACCCTGGAATTCCCCTCTCCCCTTCTCGAAACCCTAAATTCTTCTAACTTTTTAAGACTTCTCAGCATCTCTGGTCCCCTGAGGCTCCTAGCTTCCCTTTCCTTCTTCCTCAGTGGGTACCTCCCTCTGAGCAGTCTCTTACAGCAGGCCCACGTCCCCACCTTCCCCTGCCATGCCAGCCCTCTGACCCCTGTCCCCTCTCACAGCATCAGCTGGTGTGCCAGCCAGGGTTGAACAGAGGCTTGATCTTGGATCTTCTTGACAAAATGAAGAATCCCGGGAAGGGGCCGCCTATTGGTGAGATTGACGACGAGGAGCCTGAGGTGAGGACCTGAGGGCCTTTGCATGGGTTACTCCTCCCGCTGGGGAGCCCTCTGGAAGCCTGTAGGAGAAGGAAGATGGCACGAGGAAGGGAAGCCTGGCAGGGCTGGATACAAACGTTTACAAGAGAGGGTGGCGGCAGAGCGCCAGAGGCCTTGAGCCCTGACACAGCTACCTTTCTGTCCAGCCACCCCCTGCCATCCCTCGGCGGATCAGATCTACCCACCGGGCCAGCTCACTGGGGGTCCCAGACACAGACTGCTGTCGTGAGTAGAGAACCCTACAATTTGGGGCTACTGAGCCCACTCGCTGACCATTAGGGGCTCAAATTCCAAGACACTTTTGGCCCTGTAACCTTCAAACTGACACAGAGTCCCCTCCCCTCAGTCCTGTGAGAACTCCCAGCTCTGACCCCAAAGACACGTTGAGAATCAATATAAAGGCATGGTAGTACACACCTCAAATCCCAGCCCTCAGGACATCCCTGTGAGTTCAAACTTCCTGGTCTACATGGTAAGTTCCAGGCGGGCTACACAATGGGACCTTATCTCAAAACAAAACAATGAAAAGAAAAAAAGAATCAAAAAAAAAAAAAA